AACCTTATATATATATATATATATATATATATATATATATATATGTATATATACATATATACAGTTTTGTATTACTTTGCCACAAATATGCTTATGGAACCTTACAGCTAAGAAGCGAGGGATGCTGGTTGCTATACAGGGGAGTGCTGCCACCGCTGATCCAACGAACAACTACACGTTCGGTGATGTTTGGCATGTTCGATAAACTTCATCATTTATTTGGCTGTTCGGAACGCACATCTTCGGCTGCACGCCTCTCGTGCTATGCATACGCTGCATTTATGGGTAAAATTATAACTTTTTTTCGGACTAAAAATTAGCTTTTTCCAACCAAAAAGTGACTTTGTGGTTAGAGAATTTGGCCTCAGCCACATTTCTCCAGGGAGAAAATTACTCATTTCAGTAAATTGTTTAAAATTTGGCAAAATTCGTGTATTGTTGTAAGTACATTTTCTGTTATACAAGAATTTACGTGTGGGAAATTCGTTGGAAGTAACTGCTTTTGGTGTACTACTATTGCCAAAGAGTCAAACCGCCTTCATATTTCTACTCAAACAATTATGAAAAGCGAGAATCCATCAGTAGTCTTGTCAGTGGATAGTTGCTGCTTTCATTTTAGGCCCACTACCGAATGTTTTTCTGGCGAATGGGTGCACGGTGAAGGAATTTTAAGCTTTCATTTAGGTTTTGGTAAAGAGGAGGATGGTAGTTATTGAACTTATCGGCGAAAAAATGGCATCTGTAGGAGAAAGGGGGGATTCTTTACTGAGTTATAGTACAGTTTAATTGCACTTTTGATGTTCCCAAACGATGATTTTACGTATTTTTCCTTAGTACAGATCGTTGTTAGTTTGATCAGCAAGAACTGATCATAAAGAGGTGTGCAGCTAGAATAATTGGCCAACGCATCCCTCTGAGATTTCAACTTTCTAGCTTCTCAGATCCCCGATTTATGAACTTGCCCGCAAAAAACTTTGGCGGGTTCTTACATGGGTACCACGCTGCTAATGACGCCCATTTTGGAGATTGGGACCCGTACGTGTATGTAGATCAAGTTCCCAAAATTTCAGCCCTGTAGCTTTTGTAGGTCTTGAAATGAAAAAGCGTGACAAACGCACACATAGATACACACAGACAACTCCTCATCAATATGCGTTTTCTGCATTGCATAGCTGCAAAAAACGCATAAAAATAGCATCAGCCAATTTTTATGTTGAGGA